CCCATGTCCCCCCAGAACTGTCGGTCCCATTTTCTCGTCCAGATTGTTCATCCAGCCTATTGTATCCAGACAGACCTGGCTATTTTGTGTCTTACACTGTCCATTGTCTGCCTTTACCCACTTTTCTGTTCCTCTCTCTGGGGCTGGGCTATATACCCAAACTTGTGGTGGGTTCCTTCTTTTTATCCCGTCCCCTGTTCTATCCCGCTACCCTCATGATATTGCTACTTCCACTACTGTTCCCGAGGCTCTTATTTGTCCTGAATTCCATGTGTCCAGAGCTCTTATCTGTACCAATCTGTGTTTTCTGGTCTCACTGGATTTGTAAGTTAGAACTGGGCCACAGTAGTGGGGAAAAGAAAACATTCAGGAACTAGAGGAATGATGCATTTCATCAGGGCTATCCTGTAGCCTTGATGAATTGTTCCTTCCTTGTTACCCTTCTGTGAAGGGATGTCCAGTTGTCTACAGATGGGCTTCGGTGTCGCTACTCCCACCCCCTTCATTCACATTGATATAAATGTTTATTTTGGATCTTTTGATGCCTGATACCTGTCCTGGAGACACCTCTTGATCATACAGGCTGGTGTGCTTCTTTCATGTGGGCTTATTTTCCTTCCCTGCTAGATGGCTGCTTGTTTAATTTCAAGCCTTTAAGACCCCAGATGCTATTATCTGTTGATAGCCAGGTGCCATCTACTTCCTTCACCACATTTGTTTATTCACCCATTGTGTCTTCAGCCATTAGGTCAGGAAGATGACTATTAAAGAGCGCCAGGTTATTAGAAGAAAATGTTCTTGTGTTTAGTAGGAGACCTTGAATAGAGACCCAAAGTCCATCTGCAAACTTAATAATTAACATATAAATATATGTACATTGGCCTCTATCTTTTTCATTATAAATTAATATATTTATAATATATACATGCCTATAGCTATACTTTTTGCTTTTGCTTGCTACTTAATTTCTCTATTTTCTTTCACCTTGTTCCTGTCCCACTGTTATGGTTACCCTCCACTCAGCTCAGTGATTCCTCTTGTATACATGGCCCTTGATCAAACCCCACCATGCCTTCCCAGTGTCATTTTTAGACCTCTTGCTGTTCCTTTATCATTTAGTTTGTTGACTTCCCACTCCCCTCTCTGCCTGACTTCTCCACCCAGGACCTATAAGTCCCATTGTTTTCTCCTCAGGATTATTTTCCCTGTATTTCTTATATAGGTAGACATACGGTGAAAGAAACATTTCCGTATATGTGCTGCTGCAGTGAGGGCAAATATAAAGCTTTTCAAGTTATTTACTGTGCATATCTCAATGCATTTTTAAATACTATACTACAATTTGTTTATTCTGCCTATCTTCAAAAGACATTATTAAATAGTCTTGTGAATTTTTAAAATCTAATTTATTGTGAGATAGAGCATGCACAGAATTTCAGGATAAAATGGCAATGCTGTCTGAATAGATAAACTTCAGAGGGACAGGTTCCTATGAGGCTGGCAGTTTGCCATCCAAGACATGCTCTCTCTCATAAAACCCCCCACTAAAGAATGGGCTCATCCCCATTTAACAAATACAAAAACATTAAATAGTTGAACTGAGTTTGAGTTGCTGAAGCCTATTTGCATAAAGTCCACATCAACCTCACTTTCAGAAAGTGAGAAAACACTTTCTTGAATTTCACAACAGACAGGGAAGAAAGACCCCATTCAAAAGACAAAATTTACATGTCTGAGTTAGTGTAGCATACCATGTGCATAGTGGTAAAATTACTCTTGCACTTCAATGACAAGTTGTACTTTTGTTTTTAGATCAGGAGATAGGAGAACAAACATGATCCAATTCATGAAAATCATTTAATGCTCTGATTTTTGAAGGAAGCAAAAAAGAAACATTAACAAGCTAAACCATATTTTTCTTGCCTTTAGTCATGAAGGCTAATTAAATTCTTATCAAAAGTCATAGTTTTATTTAATTTTAGTCAGTAAAAACTCTTCCATGCCTCTATAATTCTGTATAATTGGGTCTAATAATTTCATTCCTCCCACAGGTCGACTTATACAAAAAGACAAAGGTCCATATTATACACACCTTGGGGCAGGACCAAGTGTTGCAGCTGTCAGGGAAATCATGGAGAATAGGTGAGGACATTCTTCATTGTGTACTGAGTCAATGAGGATACAGAACTTTTGGGTATAAACTTGAGGTGACTGGAAATCCTTAAGAAGTTATCAGTTGGATATTCCATATGCCATAGGCATACTTTCTGGGTATTTAGACAGTCACTCATCTTATGAGCTGTTGGGTAATTAATGAATCACCCACAAAATGGCTAGTGTTGTCCTTAAATGCAGAAACATTTATTTGGTTTATTACTGCATAAGGTAAACGCATTCAGATAACCACTACTGCATTCATTGCCTTTCCTGTCTTTGAAGCCAAGTCATTTTTAAGGCATCATCTTCAAGGATAAGTAAACAGGAAAAAAAGAAAAAAAAGTTAACAGATCTGAATAACAAAAATAATCTGCCACAAAATATAAGTTTTTAAGGCTTTAATTTTTAAGTTTAATATACATATTGTACATATTTGGCTACTAAAAACTGCAAGTTTCCAGGATAACACAATTATTTTTCATTCACTTTGTTTTATACACAGGTTTGGTCAAAAAGGAAATGCAATCAGAATTGAAATTGTGGTTTATGCTGCAAAAGAAGGAAAAAGTTCTCATGGTTGTCCCATTGCTAAGTGGGTAAGTATTGAAAATAGATTAATTCTATGTAGAAGATAAACTAATTGAAAAATTTTCCCCAGAAAAATACAGGCCAGAAGAATCTACTTACTCCTACAGTGAGACAATAAGGACTTGAACAGTCTTAGGTTGACTATCTGTTGGGAACGTGGGTCAATACCTTTTGAATATTTTAAAAACATAGTTTTAGGTTCAATGAACAGTGACTAGCCAAATGACTTCTTATCCCCAAGATTACAGATTTTTACCAATCTCTTGTGAACTTCTATTAGTTAACGTATCTTGAATAAAAGGCAGTGACATAGTGGTTAGGCATTTATTTGACTGGCAACTGAAGGACCAGAGGGTCAAATCTTTGATCTGCTCCGTGGGATAATGATGTGTGCAGCCTGCTCCCTTTAAGGTTACAGCCTTGGAAAGCCAGTAGGGCAGTTCTGATTACTATGTCACTGAACTCCTGGAATTGTGTAGAAAATTCTACAGTTTTCTTTAATGGAACATAAAATATTCTTACTTTTAGTTAGCCTAATTTGAAGACCATTGAAGGATCATGCCAGAGAACTCTTGCTTTTCTCATCTTCCTAGTTCCTCCTCAATTCCGTATGCTAAATCCATAGTGCCCTCATAAGAAGGAATAAGAACTGAATCTCCACAAGGATTCTAGGCTTTAAATCTTATTGAAAAGAGACTTCTGGATATTTCTACATCGTCACATGTCTATTAGGTTCAAACACTAACCCTTAGGTACATTTCTAATTGGTTAACCAACTGGGGAACCCGAGCAGGACTCCTCCCTCAATATGTATACCCTCTGCCCTCGAGTCCATTGGTCTCAATCTCACGTCATCAGAATAGTCAGATTTTTTTAGAGCAAATTTAAATTTATAATTAACTCAAAAACTGTTAGTATGGCTGCTTTGTTTCCAAAAGATGCAAAGCTGAATAAAGTAAGCACTTGATTCGGTTTCTTTAGTTCTCAAGTGAAAAACAAACAAAAAAGCAAATTCATGACCGTGGAAGGATATTCACATTCATGTGGATATTAACCACTTTAATTGAATTTCTTGATCCTGGGATTAAGGTCCCTCTATTAGTTATTTGTGAAAAATACCAATGATTACAATTATGATTGAAAACAATTTTTACTATATATCAAGCACTGTGTCAAGTACTTGATATTGTACCAGATTAAATACTCCAATTTTTTTTGGGTGGGGGGCATTGTGAGGGTTTTTTTTTCAAAAGTTATTTTTTTTACTGTTTCATAGAAAGCAAAACTAAGTGAAGATGAGGCTTGAACCAGGCTTTAACTGAAGAAAACAAGGTTCTGTATATATGTAAGCATTATATTCGTTATGCTATGAAAGAATCAGGGGCTCTATAACCTTAAAGTGAATTGACATTGGAAAGGCATATGAGGGAGCACCAAAGGGAACCACGGAAAAAAGCTCTGGTGGGTGTAGCTTTCATAGTGCATACACATTCTTCCTGCCAGGTGAGCGACGGGATTTGGTTGGAATTTAGCTGGTGATCAGCAGATTTATTCTTAATCCTCACTAGCTTAAATATGGTCCAGTCCACACCAAGGCAAAAAATGCTGGTATGGATGAGCCACACGGATTAGTAATCTAACCCAGGCTAGCACATGGAAAGAGAAAATTCTGCCTCTGCTTAGCATTTCTTAGGAAACAGATGGAGCAAAATTACGTACTTTCCCCTGTATAATATTTCTTTTCATAGTAAATAGACCATTTTAGTATATGTAGATAGTGGTAGATTCCTAGAGCTGAATAGAGATATGGATTAAAATGAATGATTGGCAAGTAGTATATGCTAACAACAAAACATTTTTTGAATAGATTGAACTATGGGATTATAAAATGTTTCTATGCAAGAGTCAAACTTTTCTCTTAAATGTGAGCCTATTTAAACTATCCATTGTTTGCTATTGTTGCCTGGAGCAACTTGTAAATTTTCATTGAACATGAAGGTAAAATAAAAATGGCTTATGGTACTTAATATTGTAACATTTTTAATTTTAGTATATGGTTCTTTAAATTAAGAATTCTGCAATTTGATTGACATATGATTCACAGATTCTACAAGTCATAGGTATGCCACATGAAGGAGTCCATCATCGCCACAGTCAGTTTAGAACCTTTTCTTCATTCCTTATTAGCTCCCCTGCCATACCGCCAAGACACCATTAATTTCCTTACTGTCTCTGTAGATTTAGCCATCCTGGATTTCATATTTTAAATTCGAATTGGTGTCTTACAATCATATTGCTAGAATAGTCATCATATATTCTTTCCCAGGCAAGAGATACCTTTCAGAATGAGTCAGGGTCCCGTTAAAGCTGTGCAGCCCTCGCTTGAGTGAAATGATCATCTCTCATATATTCTATATATGGAGTCCCTGGGTGGTGGAGAACATTGCCTTCGTGGCTGCTAATAAAAAAAAGGTTTGTGATTCAAGTCCACCCAGAGGCACCTTAGAAGAACAGAGTTGGCAATCTACTTGCCCGAAACCAGTTATTGATATCCATATGAAGTGCAGCTCTACTTTGCATACATGACTAATAATCGATTCTACAGCAACTGACTTGGATTTTGCTTTTGCTTTTATTATATTATTCCATGTTGTATTTTGTGGTTGGCAAGCAGATTATTTTTAGTCGTGTTCACCACCACCCCTGCCCCTACCCAACCCCCAGCTCAGTGGAATCAATTGAAACTCATAGTGACTCTATAGTGTTTCCAAGACTGTAAATCCTCACAAGACTCACAAGCCTTTATCTTTCTCCTGTGGATCTGCTGGTGGCTTTGACCCACCATGTGCCACCAGGTACTCAGAGCTGGGTGATTCATTTAGACAAAATCAGGTTGGAAGGAAATTACTTTGAACTAAAACATTCAATAGATTACATTGCTCCAATTTTACTCTCATCTGGGATTGCGTGTGTTAGTCGTACATTTGAAATTAAACCGGAACCTGAATCTAAATAAAAAATGGATTTGGTTACATTTAGTTTTCTCAAGTTGCAAGCATATGTCTGGTAACTTAATTTTTTTTGTCTTAGAAAACGTAATTTTTAAAAAAGAAAGAAAACTTATTGTGCTTTATTCTATCCCCTAATCTGCCTTTCTTGTTTCTAAGATAATTTTATTTCTTCCCTTTTCAATGTTCATGTACAAATACCTAAATCAAATTCTAACTGGGCAATGAAACCTTTGTGCAGCATTTCAGCATTGTTTCCCCTTTGTTCTAAATGCTTTTATATTTCTCTCCACCACCCCACCTTCACCACCTTGAATTCTTTCTTTGCTAGGTAGACATTAACACACGTATTAGTAAGCACTAATCAATCCATGTGAATCGGGCTGAGACATGAAAACATTCTAATACATATTTTAACTAACTACTTTATTATTGAAATTGGCAATGATATATTTGTCTGAAAACCAGTCTTTTTTCTACCAATTTTCCAGAACATAATAATAAATGGCAAAAAAGAAAAGTAAAATAATAAATGGCCTCGAGTTGCAGTAAGCAGCCTGCTGTCCTCTAGAACGCCTTGAGTTCACCCTGGGGGGGTCCTGTTTCACCTGCCTTAATAACCCCTCAACTTGTATATCTCACAAGTGGGGGGGAAGAGGTAGGGACTAAATAAGAGGTGATAACAAGGGTTCAAATAGAAAGTAAATGTCTAGAAAATGATGATGGCAACATATATACAAATATGCTTGAAACGACTGGTGTATGGATTGTTATAAGAGCCGTGAGAGTCCCCAGTAAAATGATCCTTAAAAAAAAAAAAGAACTCCCCAAGACTCAAATAGATTGGCTAATCTAGACCAGGTTATCAAAAATCATTCAAAATGGTAATTTTATTTTAACAGTGTAGAATGTTTTAATTTGTTATAATTTAATTTTTTTAATAATTTAATTTTTTAAACAAACATTTAACCATTCATACATAAATTATTGAGTCCTGTTGGGTACATTTTTCACACCGTGTTGTTATTCTTATTTTTTCTCTTCTGGTTGTTACCTTGTCCAATACTCTATTCCATATGCCTGTTCATCCCTATATGACAGTCATTTATGACCATTTTATCTCTGTTAGATGATTTATTAATGTACATTTAATATTACTAATAGTATGATCCTATATTATTTAGCTAAAAGGGAGCCAAGTGATAATGTTGGTGGAACGTTTACGGAGTTCCTCAGAGCAAACTTCTTGGGGTGTCCATCTGCGTTGCTGCAGGTCTGAAAGGTTGTCAGAAGTGTGTGGACACCATCAGGTTGTTCTGGTCTCTGGGTGGATGAGGCCGGGCTTCTTGTAAACTACAGTGTTCCTGCAGCTTACTTCTTTTTCCTGAGTCTTCCTTTGCTCTCTTCTTCGTTCCACATGGGTAAAGACGCCATAGTTACATTTTACATGGCTAGTATCAGACCTTTAAGGCACTGTGCTTGCCCCATTTGATTGGAAACATACATTTTATGAAACATAGCATGCCAGTTACTTGAGTAACTATGGTTTTCAGCCTCAGAAACCAGTCTCACAGATTGCCTGATAATGTTTAAATAAAGGACTGCTTCGCCTCTGTGCTTTGTGTGTATATAAATAGAAGTGCACACGTATACCTTACACATCTATGTCTATCTTACCAATTATTTATGTAGGGTTATATATGTGTGTGTTTATATGTCAGCACACATGTCACCACTGTTTTTTTTTTTAGTCACACATATTTATTCTTTTTGGCATTGTCTTTGTCATATCCCAAGAGGAGTAGATAATGGCTCCAATCTCCCACATCCTTGCCCACTCTGTATTTTTTATAGCAGTGCCCTTTTTATAGGTGTTATGTGCTCTCATAGTTTCGATTTACATTTCTCTAAACATTAAATCCTAGAAACAATTGCAAGGCTTTGCCATAGGTTCTCAGGTGGCCCCTGAAATAACTCACAAAAACAAAACAAACTTGCCGTCATCCATCCATTCAATGGTGACTCATCGTATCCCTATATGATAGGGCAGAACTGTTCCTGTGGCTTTCTGAGACTGACTCTTTAGGGAATAGGAAAACCTCTGCTGATGGTTTCAGAATTCCCCCCACCCCAGGACTTCTCAAGAGGAATCAGTCACTGGAAGAGGACATCATGCTTGATAACATAGAGGCGTGGGGTGTGGGCAAAGGAAGCCCCCTTGACAAGATGAATGGACACAGTGCTACAGAAAGGGGCTGAAAAAGAAGAACAATTTTGAGGATGGTGCAGGACTAGGCTGTGTTCTTTTTGGTTGGACATAGGGTCACTATGAATCGGAGTCAACAGAACTGCACCTAATAACAATTCTGCCACTTTCCATCTGTATAGGGAGCATGCATTACCCCTTAGCTATATCTCAACATTGGACCTAGCCTTATGTCAGGCAACAACCTGACTCAAATTTCACAATTATTTCTTTAACTGTATTGTGGCTCTTAGTTTCCCTCATAGCTTAACTTGCTGGTATCACTAACTTTCTTTGGAGTCTTGGTTATGATATTTTAGGCAAATAAAGCAAAAACCAGACAACAGTGGAACAACACAACAACTAATGTTTCTGCACTAACAGAAGCAGGTATATATTGTCTGAGAGGAGTGCGTGGATTGTTACTGCTTTGTGTTCTTAGGAACCCTGAGCAAATTTTTTTGAAATTTGTTTTTAGAGTGGTGAAAAGTTCGAGCTGAGACACATTGTACAACTAAGATATCACTGTAGTATAATATTATTCACCCACAGGGGAAAAAAGCTTTAGCTTTTTCCAATAAGTTCTTTTAATAATAATTAAATAAAAACTGCAGTGTGCTACTTTTACAAGTAATAGCCCATATGGAAGAGAATTTTGTTTATCTTGTATTGGTCCTTCAAACTGGGATGTGACATAGGGCAACCAATGAGACAGCAAGAGTCCTATAGGCATCCAGACAAAAAAATTAAGAATTGAAAGTTAAAAGGCAATATACATTATACTCAAACTTAGAGTACTTATTTCCCCCCCCAAAATGAACACATTATAATTTTGCAGGTTTTAAGAAGAAGCGGTGATGAAGAAAAAGTTCTGTGTCTGGTCCGGCAGCGTAGAGGCCACCACTGTTCAACAGCTGTAATGGTAGTGCTCATCATGGTATGGGAAGGCATCCCTCTCCCCATGGCTGACAGATTATACACGGAGCTCACCGAGAGTCTAAAGTCATACAATGGTCATCCCACAGCACGAAGATGCACCCTCAATGAAAAGTAATCAAAGTTGTTTTGTCCTGTTTCACATTCAGATCTTTATTATAGAGTGTTAGATATTTCATTAACTACACGGTATTATTTTCTGGAAAGCAGGACTTCAGAACCAAGCAGTAAACATTTCCATAAAATAAGCTAGTAAATTAAGGTTATTCCAGAATAGCTTCCATTTCATTCTTCTCGTGTCCTGCACCCTCTCCCTTCCAATCCCTAGATTCTAGAGGAACGGGAATTTTGTACAAAGTAAAAGCAGGTCTCGATTAGCCATTGTTCAAGTTTATTGCTTCTTATCAACAGAGATTTTTCTATAGCATAGCCAATGAATATTTCCTCAAGTATCGGTATTTCAGCCCTGCTATAAGTGAGAAGTATTAGTATATCCCCAGTGATTCCAGAATTTAATTTCACCTTATAAACCTTTCTTCTACGTCCCAACTATTAATATCTGTGTTCGGTGACACAGAAAAATAAACCAGCTATTGCCGTCGCATCCATTCCAATTCTACGCGTAAAAGGTCGTGTGTTTTCACACAGTTAAGAGCCTTGTTACCTTGTCACCTGCTTGGGCAGCTAGCCACTTAGTCAGAGGTACCACAGAACACAGATGAGGCCTTCCACTGCCCTAAAGAGTTAGTCTCAGAATCTCTTAGGGGTACGTCAACCCTCTCCTGTGGTAGGACACTATGAACCAGGACCGACTTAATGGCAATGAGGGACCTTAGGATCCTTTTTGAACTCTGTTAATTCTTCTAAAAGATGTAATTTCTTGACAACAGCCAGTTTTGTCATATCCAAGATTGAATGTGATTGGCTTCTTTCTTGTATCTTCAGCTAACACAGGTTCACATGAGGACTTTAAACTTTGTGATGTTGTTTTGCAAACGAACGCTTTTTCCATTTTAAAATTTGTCTTTCTTTCCCTTGGGCTTAAGAGACATTTGTCCGATGTTTTATTATTTTTTTAAAAAGCAACTACATAACTGTGCATTGTTTCCCTAATTTGAATGTGGGTTTTAATTGGTAGAAAGAGGAAGTCCATTTTTCTTGTTTGTCATTTTATTAGGAGCTCTTACAGATATAACAATCCATAGTTCCATTAGATCATAGTTGTACAATTGCTGCCATCATCATTTTCAAAACAGTTTCTTGAACTCTTTGATATGAGCTCCCGTTTATGCCCTCCCTCCCCCATCCTACTACTACCCCCACGAACACTTGATAATATATTATTATTATTGCCAAGCCTTACACCATCTAATGTCTTCATTCAGCTACCATTCTGTTGTTTGTTCCCTTTGAGTGGGGTTATACTGTCATTCTTGCTATCAGTGACCCCTCCTCCCCTCTCTTTTCCCGCTCCCTCAGGGAATCATTGCTACCATTAATGTCTCTGAGGGGTTATCTATCTTGGATTTCATGCATGGAGCAGTCTTAATTATACAAATGAACACACGCAGGTCTAGCAAAATTAGTGAGGTAAAACGAAGGCCATAATAGTGAGGGGAGCAGTTACGTATTTTACTCTGTCCTTTGGGGATTAGGACTACACTTGTAAAGTTTTAAGGAAAATCTCCGGATATGTTAATGGGACTGCATTAAATCAATAAATTGCAAGAACTGACATCTTTATGATTTTTAAATCCCACTACAATTATGAAAATCAGAAAATTATGTTTTGATACAATAATACAATGATCTAAGCTATACTTCACAGGTGAAAAAGGCTGACTTGTAGAGATTTTCTGCCTTTCTATTCTGTATATTTTATAATCATGTTTCCATGTTCCATGGCCTTAACATTTTTGAAAGAGACAGGACAATTTAGTGTTTATTGATTTTTCTTTCTGATTCAGCTCAGTTTGTGAGTTATTGGCAGGCATCCTTCATGGTACCAACATCACGTCGTGAGCTCTGCAGTCAACCTGTCCCATTATTGGTAGTGATGTCTACATCGAATGTTTCATAAAAGCTCTTTCCAATGAACTGTTATGCTCTTTCTGTGGCAACTTTAATTTTTATCTCTCAATTTGAAATTCTGCTTAACCCTTTGATCAAAGTGTTCGATCAACCTATAATCATATTCAAAACCTATTTTCCATCTTGATAAAAGTTTTTATGGGAATGAGAAGTCAGAATACTTTCTCTATCCCTCTTTGTTCCACTCTATCACTTTTTTTTTTTTAATTATTATGTTTGTCCAGAAGTCTGTAGAAAACTAGGTACCCATTTGAAATCTCTGCAGCCATATTAGGTAATAGTTTTTCTCACCACCATACTAAAGAAAAATTATTTCCATAATCCTTGGTAACCACCAATGAACATTGGCCTTTGTATACAGCTGGCCTTCTTTATTCTAAGGGTTCTACATCCATACAGGAGCCCTGGTTGTATAAAGATTTCCACATGGGCTACTTAACTGCAGAGTCACCAGTTTGAAACCATTAGATGCTATGTAAGAGATCTACTCCACAGAGTTATAGTCTGCAGGGAAGTTCTTTCCTTTTTCTATAGGGAACAATCTAGATGAGTAGGTTTTCTTGATTGGGTTTCTCCCCCACCCCCCACCCCCTTATCCATGGATTTAACCAATAGGCACCAATATATCAAAGGCTAAGAAGTGGCAAAATTGGCTGGAGGATGTGCATATGTTATAAGTAGAAATTGGACCCCTTTACATAAAGGTCTTGAACATCCATGGATTTTGCTGTCTAAAGGTTCTGGAACCAATCTTGTGAATGTAAGGCATGTAAGAGAGGAAGGGAGAGACAGTGATTTGTGATTGATTTATTTCATGTAGTGGTTATGTCCCCTAGATATATTCACATTAAAATATGTTTAAATAATCTATTGTATACATATTACATTTTCAGATCCATTCATCCTTTTTTTTTGCTATTGTGAATAATACTGCAATGATTATATCAGACGTGCTTGGTTTCATAAGTTTTTGGGTTTCTATATTCTATTAAATATACTTGATATTTTCTTGTTTTGAGTTGTATTATTTTGACATTATATACGTATATATACATACTATTGAGAAAGTCGAGCATTTTGCCAATTTGAAATCAAAATGAGGATATATATACAACCTCGCTGGTTTCATATATATGAATGTGTATGCTAAGTGTTTTCATTGCATCTTAGACCCCTCTGCCATGCTATCACAGGCTCCTGTAGGCTTTTACAAGATCATTCACATACTGTATCCATCTCATTTTTAAAGTTTTGACAGGAAGAGACCCAGAAACTTTGCTTTGAAACTTCAGGCACCTTCAGATCCAAAAGAAATTATGGATATTTTCAACCTGAACAGTTTATCAATAACTATTTTGTATTTTCAGTTCTAAACATATATTTTAGTTCAAAACTTCCCACCCATTACCAGAGTCTATTCTGACTTAATTATTATCAAATTCATTTAGTTTTTATATTTATATAGAATTTTTTTTAAATATAGATTTTATTTTACATTAACTTTGTGCTCATCTGTATTCATTGTTACGTAAAACGGAAATGTTTTGAGTATTTCCCCTGGCTTTATCAGTTCATCCTTTTGTAATTACTGTCTTCCAGTCGTACCTGTACATGTCAAGGAATTGATCCAGAGGCTTGTGGAGCTTCTTTCTCATTTGGCTGTTCTTGGAGTATGTACTTCAATGGCTGCAAATTTGGTAGAAGTCCAGCCCCCAGAAAATTTCGAATTGATCCAAGTTCTCCCTTAAATGTAAGTTTCCATTTTATTTTTTAACTTCACAATGAGTATATGAGTATATTCCTTATACATAATGAAACACTAAAACAAAATATTTAAGTTACAATGAATCAATCAAAGAAAATAAACTAAATAGTTGAAAGTTCTAAATAAGTTAAATCAATTCTTTAACCACCAACCCAAATTCCAAATGTTCCTTGTCCCTTCTTCCCTTGCTACCATACTCTGGAGAGAATCACTGTTAAAAGATTCTAAAATTTATACACAGCCAAAGTAGGAAGACTAAGTAAAGCCATTTTCCAACATTTCAAAGACTAAGAAAGCTTACCACCTACAGACCTACTATGAAGGAATTACTAGAGGACGTATTCCACGAAGAAGATGTATGAAACCGGAACGAATCGGTCCGGGACACAAGGCCATGGTGAGCAAAGAAATTAGTCAAATGTACTGTTACGTTTAAATAAATTGAGTATTTACATTTTTAAGTTAAAATAACCTATAGGTATAATTCCGTTCTCTTAGCAATTTAGGGGTGGGTAGTTGGATAGGCGATGGGAGGGGTGGGAATAATTAGGAAGTAAGTATGCTACTTTTTTTTTTTTTTTTACCTTGTTGCATATCAGGAGGGTTTAAATGCTATTTGGGGAGCCTTGGTGGTACAGTGGTTATGCGTTGGTCAGGCGATTGAAAGCAATGGAGAAGCTCCGTTGATGGAAACCAGGGATTACTACTCCCCTGTAGAGTTAAATTCTGAGAAATCCATAGTGCAGGCACGATGAGTTGGCATTGATTGATGCAATGACAGTAAGTTTGGTTATTTCTCGTTTCATTGTTTTCAAACAAAAGATAATAATTTTTATTTATATGTTAAAACATTTTTAAAAAACAAAATTTGATTTTTTTATAATCCTACTAGTAATTGCTCTTATGGCCCACATGTTAGGAGTTACTGTTCTTACTATTTGGGGGGAGGGAATACGTGTGTGTGTGTGTGTGTGTGTGTGTGTGTGTGTGTATTTAATACATGTATATTTGAAAAATTTTATCTTAAAAATATCTTAAATTAATAGGATAGAATGCATAATAGGAAGCATATAGTTTATAATAAAAGATCCATGAAAAAAATCAGCGAGAATGATTTTTAAGAATTGTAGTGTAAAATAGTTATAGTATATAATAAATAGAAAATAAAAAGAAGGAATTATCTAATATAATGACTATAATAAACTGGTAAAAATGTAGAATTCACAAGTAATTATCCCTTTAAAGAGAAAATATAAATTTAGTATAGAGTTTCTAGCTATTTCGGTAAAGTCAAAAAGATGTATCTACACATAAGTATGATAGACAGAAATATTCTTCTATATTATTATTTTCTATCTAGAAATTAATTGGTAGCTTTAGAATATTAGAAATATAAATATAGCTTAAAGAGATGGCAAGGTAAAAGTGGATCTTGTTCAAAATCAATAACTTTCTTATGTACTGTTCACAATTTGAGAACATACTATATGTTAGTTTACGCCATCACATTAGGGGGCCAAAAAACATCCACAATTATGAAGTTCTTTAAAAATCTTATAGGCCACATAAGGACAAACTATAAAACCTTACTAATGGGTTCTTTCTTTAATTCCAAGGTGTGATGCTCAAATATTTCAATGCTCAATAAAGTAATAGCATTTCTTCCTTAGAATTATCCTGGTTTCTTTCTAAATGTTATTGAAGGATATTTTCATAACAAGAATCATATAATAATATTGACAATACTGTTAATGCTTTAGTTCCATGAAATATTGTTAAATCATAAATGTCACAATTGCTTATGGTTTTCTTTCCCCTCTCCCCTTCTCCCTCTTTAACACTGCTTAACATTCACATAGTGTTTGTAATACATTGAAGGGTTTTTAGCGAGAGATTGCCACAATCACCGTGACCAAGGATGGAGTTTTAGAAGAAAATCTAGTTATCTGTGAAAATAAGATGCTGATTTGGAATAACCCAAAATAACTCCCTGCTCTCAAGTCAATTCCAGCTCTTAGCGATCTTACAGGACAGAGTCCAATTGTCGCCCTGTGTTTGCAAGGCTGTAAATCTGTGTCGGAGCAGAAAGCCTCAAACTGTGAGCTCAAATTGCTGCTCTGGTGATCAGCTGCCCAATTCATAATTATCCACTATGGCACTTTGGATCCTTTCTGTGCAGGAAAGAAGTGGTAAGCAGCAGTTCATATGGAGTGATCTTTTATTTTATTTTTTCAATACACAATGGTACACTGAACTAAGAACATATTTGTAAAGGGCAGAATTTGTTCTCAACTGAGTTTTAGATTCCAAAAGAAAATTCTAATGGTCATGTGTGCTCAAAAATAATAGGAATCTGGTATGCATAAAATGATCATCTGTCCAGCTGGTTATAATAATTATGGATATGGTGATTCTGTAGACCAAGAGGTACTGAAGTATTTTTGGACTTTTGTCCAATTAGAATAGCCTCTATCCAAGGGCTCAAGTAGAAAGAAAATGTTTTGAAAAGGATAATGATGGCACATGCAAAAATTTGCTTGATACAATGAATGTATAGATTGCATGTAAAACAATCATTAGGATTTTTTAAATATGAAAAATAAGCTGTATGTTAGTACTCACAGTCAACAATATAATCTATCATTGTTTTGTTTCTACTTACCTACTGTGTTAGACAGGGTTCTCTAGAGAGATAAAACCAAATTGCTGATAATTTAATATATTTATTTATAAAGATAATTAGATATATAAAAAGAAATGAACTGTTAAATCACATACAGATAAATATATAATACAAGAAATAAACAGTTAAATTATAAATTACTACAAATGGCTCAATGCAACTCAGTCCCTTGAGAGAGAGTTGTGAGACTAGCAGTCCTTCTAGTCTAGTCTGCTGCCAGATCTTCCTCTATTTATAGAGAGAGCTAGACTATGTCAGCACAGCAGCCAATCAGAAGGCAGGTCACCAACTGCCAGCCAGGTCACCAACTGCCAGTCCCCAGCTCCAGCGATTTCTTAAAGGGACCTCAACTTACAGCGACACAGTCCACAGGCTAGGCGTCCCACAGGTAGTGTAGCCTTTAAATTGAGGCACAGGACAAGCAAGGCAGCCGCATACTGGTCTGATGATCAAAGAGCGAGAGACAAGAAAGGCGAGGCTCACCAAACCATTTATCTCTCTGCCCTTCAGTTAATCCCACTTGTGTTTATCGGCCAGACTGGCACAATAAACTATCTCACCTACTTTTTTCACCATTTCTACATAATTAATATAACAGATATTTAGTAAGATGACAACATGAATAAAATTGTATAAGAACATTTAAAAATTTAAACCTAATTTTGCATGTTATATAGAATTTCTATACCAGTATTCCAGTTTCTCTTAATCATTCTCGCAGTAAAACAAAATTAAACCTGTAGCAAATATTTTAAATGTTAAGAATCATAACTAAAATATTTTTAGTACTAATTCTAGAATTTCTACCAAATAAATATGATAATCAAGGTTTGAGTATATAGTATAAGGTATTTCTAACATGAATCCATGACTTTTCTAATATAGGAAGGCATTCTGTGACTATCATCTAATTTTATTTTTCCATAAATATTTTTATGTTAACCCTACTTATTACGATTACGCTTAGTCAGTAATATGTATCTATAAAATAAAGAGATTAAACACAGATGAATATATATATAACTAATCTAGACATGGACTTTTTTTTTTTTTCATATTTTGAAGATAATTTATTGTCCAGAAGAAAGAAAGCAGGCCTGATACATAACATTACACTGGAACGTATTAAACATGCTGCCATGTTTAGACATGGACTTTTTAAAAAGAAATTCCGTATTAATGAAAATTTCAGTATGGTTCTGTAGGAAAAACCATGAGTTATCACTGTTGCTTGATAGTGGGTGGGGCTGTTTTCTATGTCCATTTTCTTCCTTTGTCTGTATTGCTGTTTCTTTGGTGTTCAGAATTATGCGATGTGTACTGGAGATGAACTCAGCCACACGAAGACCTTGTACATTCATAGTATCTCCCTACAGCCAAATCCATAGGAACCAGAAGTCCTCTTTAATCCCTCCTTGATCCTTGCTGTCAGTTAACTGCCTTCAATATATGACTGCTTAACACTGCTAGCTTGATTTGAAATATACTCGTCTTTAAGAAAAACTGTTATATTGGTCTTTCGGCTATGTTAAAATCTGAATGTCATCCGTAACATCAAGGCAGGGTTTTTAATCTCTTAAATGTGTGTATAACCAATAGTTGTCCCAATGCATGTTCTTTACAGCTTTATCAAATCTCCTTCAATTTGTAGCTACTTTGGTGCCAAGTCTACACTAGTTTATTAACATTATGTCTCCACTTTTTAAACTTTCCTGATTTAATAGCCGTTAATCATGATCTGTTTGTTTTTCTATAGAGGGTGATTTATCAGACCCGTCTTACAGCATATTTGAGGCATAGTATATTTGAACCTTAACACAAAATTTTCTTACAACGGTTTCTCTTCCAATTGAGCTATTAAAACATGTTACATTGTATCCAATTAAGCATAATAGTGACTTTTATCAGTTTAGATTCAGGGGACCAATCAATATTGTTATCTGTGGTTGGTAGCTGTTTAATACACCTAACTTTGACTTTTGTGTTAATCATCTTTTACTAATGATTAATTATATAACTTCATATGCTAAATTTATTTCCTATGTCCTTATAAAACAACTAAATTGGACTATTTTTACCTATAGGAAAAAATCCTTGAAGACAATTTACAGAGTTTGGCTACGAGTTTAGCTCCAATTTATAAGCAGTATGCCCCTGTTGCTTATAAAAACCAGGTATGCTGATAATAGCTGTTTTAATATTTATTAAATGAATATAATAATTTATAATTTCATTGTGAGAGTGTGACAAGAAGGGTAAAAAATGAAATTTTGAAAATGTGATAATTTCTATATATAGCGTTTATATTAGTCTATACAATTTTTTTTTTTGCATTAACCAATACTGTATTTTCTATATTTTTTTTTCCTAATCATTTTGTTAGGGGCTCATACAACTCTTATCACAATCCATACACACATCAATTGTATAAAGCGCATTTTACATTCATTGCCTTCATCATTCTTAAAACATTTCCTCTCCACTTAAGCCCCCGGCATTAGGTCCCCATTTTTCTCCTCCCTCCCCGCTCCCCCCTCCATCCTGAGCCCTTGATAGTTTATGAATTGTTATTTTGTCATATCCTGCCCTGTCTGCACATTTCTTGAGGCAGTGTTTCCATCTCTGCCTTTTCCCAAAGAATGCTGTGAACTCCTATTCTTAAAATGTCTTAAAAGACTCACTCTCACTGTCTCACTCACTCACTGCCTCACTCACTCACTGACTCACTCTCATTCACTCACTGCCTCACTCTCTCACTGCCTCACTCTAAAGAAAAAAAAGAAAAAAATGTCAAAATAGCAGTTTTAAAACCTGAGCAGATTCAAGTTATGTCCCTTTGAAATGTTATTTGAATTTGTAGAACAGAGAGAAATCTGAAGTGGGAATATTAGGACTATGGGAAGAGGGGTAATTAATATGCTACCCTCAAAGAATAAGCAGGTGCATTTATATGATTTAAAAATAACCCTTAGCACAAATTTCTTTACTTTTAATTTTTTCATCCAAAATAAAATTTGTCGCTACCCACAGGTTGAAAATCGTTGATCTTAAATCTTCTCCATAATAAAGGCCTTGTGACTATCCTATTAATAGAGAAAGTGTAACAACATACCCTTTGAGAATCATAAAATAGAATTCAGCGAACTTCCAAAACTACCTTGAATTGAACAGGCCTAAGAGATCCCATCTGATGCCAATGCTTATTTTGTGCCTTGCTCTCTAGATCATATTTGTAATCCATGACTTGCCCTTTGGTTGGAAATCTTCCATACAATTGTCATTAACTTTGATTTGCTCTCCACTTAAGCCCCTGGCATCAGCTCCTCATTTCCCCCTCCCTACCCGCTCCCCCCTCTCTCATGAACCCTTCATAATTTATGAATTATTATTTTGTCATACCTTATACTGTCCAACATCTCCCTTCACTCACTCTTCTGTTGTCCGGCACCCACGGAGGAGGTTATATGTAGTTCCCTGTAATCCGCTCCACCTTTCCACCCTCCCCTCCCTCCACCCTTCCTGTATCGCTGCTTTCACCACTAGCCCTGAAGGGATCATCTGTCCTGGATTCCTTGTGTTTCCAGTTCCTATCTGTACCAGTGTACATCCTCTGGTCTAGCCGGATTTGTAAGGTAGAATTGGGATCGTGATAGTCGTGGGTGGAGGAAGCATTTAAGAACTAGAGGAAAGTTGTATTTTTCATCGTTGCTACCCTGCACCCTGACTGGCTCATCTCCTCCCCACGACCCTTCGCTAAGGGGATGTCCGTGGCCTATAGATGGGCATTTCATCATTTCAAAGCATTTTCTTCCCACCTAAGGCCCTGATAGTAGCCCCCCATTTCTGTCATGAACTTTTGATAATTTATCTTTTTTTTTTTTCATGGCTTACACTGATTGATGTGTCTCACTTCACCCACTTTTCTGTTATTCATCCCCCAGGGCGGGGGTATATGTAGATCATTGAGATCGGTTCCCATTTTCTTGCCCACCTTCCCCTTCCTCTCCAGGTATCGCTACTCAATATTGGTCCTGAGGGTTTTATCTGTCCTGGGATTCCCTGTGTTTCTTATCTGTACCCAGGTACATGCTCTGGTCTAGCCTGATTTTTAAGGCAGATCTTCTACTTAGTCCTATATGGTCAGTAAAGCGTCAGCTTGCTGATAGTGAGTGAGATTCAAGGAAGTGTTATCATTCCTATAAGATGTGTTTAGGTTGGTGGAATAAAATTTAGACATAATGATTTCTTAATTATTGGAGATAGCAATGTTTCTAGGGAAACTACATATTCTCGTGCTAAAATCCTGAAATTAGACCCCTACTGCAACAATTTACCCCCAAATGGACCATGATCTAAATAAATATGTGAGCTAATAGTCTAAAACTTTTAGAAGAAAATATAGTTATAAACCTGTATGGCACTGTACTAGGCAATGTTTCTTAGATACAAGATTAAAGCACACACACAAAAATCCATTAATTAGACATTGTCCGAATTTAAAGTATAACATATGGATCTGTTATATTGAACTTGTTTATGAAATGTAACTATGATTTTTATAATCATAAATTGCAGGTTTCTAATGCACTGTATTAGGGTTTTTTTCTCCCTCAGATAATAGTTGAGACTAATTTGCTTTTTTTTTTTTTTTTTCCATACTTTGCTTTTTAGTGTCCTTTCCCTGGCTTTTGTAGGCTATCAGCATGCTCTTCTTCTGCATCCTCTTACTCTTTATTCTGAATGTTACTGAGCTGAATCTGTTCACTATTGTAAGACTCTATCATCTCAGAAGGCCAAAGGGTATTAGATTTAGAAACTTTACTGTTTTCCCTCTACATTGAAGGTCATCCTTTCTGTCTTTGAAATCTGTATCTCTGCAGATAGCGAATGAAGAAATTGGCCGAGATTGTCGCCTTGGGTATCAGGAAGGCCGTCCTTTCTCTGGTGTCACTGCTTGCCTGGATTTTTGTGCCCACCCCCACAGAGACATTCATAATATGAATAATGGAAGCACTGTGGTATGTACTTGGGACCCCTTCAATCTAAAGCCTTTCCACCACTGTGTGCTCTCAGTACTATGATATTTAAATGTGATTGGTGCAGTGCCAGATCATATTTGCTTGCTGTGTAAGTTAAGATTACATTTAGAGCATATATAATTTTAAGAGTTAAATTATATTTTTTAACTGTGGTTATTTGCTTGCAAGGGAATAAAAGTCTAGAATTTTTAAGGAGAATTCTCTTCTGCTAAACATGGAAGTATGAGATGAAGCAACTTCTTGCTGTTATATTTGCCATCAGATTCTCATTTTTTGTGTGAGGAAGCTATGCCAAATTTATCATGCATATTTGTTCCTTAATGCCAGAGTGCATGAAGTAATAATATTCAAAATGTGCAAGTAATAATTGATTTCCAGCTTCTATACTTTATCTACAGTCATGACCATATTCCCATGCCCATAGCTTGAAATCAATTAAAATACACTTAAATCAAGCCTGTGCAAAAATGTCCTTGTGTTAGGGGAAAAGCACAGACTCTTAAAATGTGTGGCAGGAGGATTGTAATCTGCTTTACCCCATATAAATCTCTTTTCCTTGTTTGATCAGTACATGTCTATAAATAATCAAGGAGCAAGTGAACCTTTCATTAACAGAGATGACTTTTCTTTATTAATGACTCACATTATGCTCAAGTTAGACAAATCCTCCTGATGCATCACTTGGCCAGTAGATTTTCTTGGATTGTCTTCATTACATAGTATCTATGAGGAAACAAGGGGATAGTAGAGATGATGTTTAGAATGAGACATAAATCTGTCTTTGACTCTCATTCTACTTTATCTTCTTGCCCAACTTTCTAGTTTTGCTTCTCAATGTCTAGTGTTGGCTCCTCCTTAACTTTCCCTTGTTATGGACAAGTAAAATGACTGAAGCTGAAATATACTGATAGATGATTCTTAGATTGATTTAATGACAGGTATCTGGTATCTTGAAGTTTTTTTTATGGAATCCAAACCATTATGAAATCAAATCTGCACTTTTAACTTCAGCACCTTTTTATAGTGCCCCTACTGAGAAATAGGTCTTAGCTGCAGGAAGGATGTCTCTAATAATAAAGAACCCATTGGACATATGATTGAATATTGACAAAATTTAAATTGATTTACAGTTATTACAAGTATTAACTCACTAAAAATATTATAAAGGAGAGAGGTCCACCTCGGTGTGTCCTTGATGGAGCCGGGTCAAGAGCCATGCCCTGACCACCCAAAAAAGCTCCTGCCTTAATGAATGCAAGTGTCCCAAAGTCCCTCCTATTACTTGAGTAGCACCTGCAACTCTAGTATACTTCAAAAGTTATTTCAATTCTATCATAAATATGTCCATGTTTATTTAACAATATTCTTTTACTCCCATGTCCTCTTTAGAGCTATGTATCCCAGCAACCCCTCGGACACCATTGTGATCTTGTGCTAATGGTTTCCCTCATCCAGAAGATAATACAAATAACTTCTTAACGTGGTTAAGACAATTAATGTTTACTTTATTTAACAAAAAAAAAAAATTTGGGAAGCCCAGAAAATTAGACTGATTAATTATGGGCAAGCCCCCAACCCACATCCACCACAAAGGAATGTGATATTAGTTAAATAAGATAATGATGCCGGTGTCATGTCTCCTTGGTGTAGTTGTGAGTTGCCTTCTGTGAACAGTCTGGTATAGAGTTGCGAAATACATTCTTGGCCCTATCGGTATTTCCATGGTGCCAAGGGGTCATTCAAACCTCCAATGTTTAAATTAAAAGTGACATGCTAATAATTTGCACCATTTATGTGAATGGTTACTGGAAATATAGTGAAAATAATTCAGGAACAATTTCTTAATGTTAGTGATGTAATAATGCAGTACCATAATATGAAAAAGTGCAAATAATAATGTATTTATAAAAATCTATTGCAAAACAAACAAACAAATCAATTGCAATGGTGTTCTTACCAACAACTGATAAGTTACTGGAATTGGATTACAGTTGAGTACATTAAAATGAATTTACTGTCAGAAATTGAAAATAAAGTAAAAATTAGCTTTTAAAATAACTGAGGTAAATATATAGGACCTATATTTCCCATTTAATGTTTTTTTCATATCAGGTTTGTACTTTAACCAGAGAAGATAACCGCTCATTGGGAGTCATTCCTGAAGATGAGCAGCTCCATGTGCTACCTCTATACAAACTTTCAGACACAGATGAGTTTGGCTCAAAGGAAGGATTGGAAGCCAAAATCAAATCTGGGGCCATCCAGGTCCTCACACCTCGTAGTAAAAAAATTAAACATTTTACTATGCCTGTTCCTCGTTGTGGGAAGAAGCGGGCGTCGATGATGACAAAGATTCTCACTAACAAGAAGAACGAGAAGAAGCTCGTTCCTGCCATGAAGCGGAAGAAGTATAATCCAACAACCAACAATCGTAAGGCGTCATCACTGCCTCTTTTAGGTGAGATCTTAGGGGACCTGCTCGTTTCCACAGTCACCTTTCATTGGTTCCACATTCCTTTATACCTCGTTTTTGTATTATCTTTTCTTCTCAGAGATATTATGAAAAGGTAAACTTAAACCCTTACTTGGTGGAGTTTTGGTCGTGTGCTTAGAGTGAAAGCTAATTTTTACATGTGTGCTAAAACCAAGTCAACAAAGCAATGACCCATGGATTTTTCTTAGTATTGTTTCTATGTATGTCTTTAAAAACACAAGCACACATGGATTTTTGCCTTTTAATTATTGTTTTAAGATCATTTTATTGGGGCACTTACAGCTCTTAAAACAATGTATACAGCAATTGTATCCAGCATATATGTACATATAGTGCCATCATGATTTTCTACACATATACTTTGTATGTGAGCCTTTGGTATCAGCTCCTCTTTTTATTCTCTTGCCTCCCACAAACACGGTTTATCAATGTCAGGGATATTCTATATCCATTTCTCACCTTAAGCATCCATTTAAGTAGTCTGAACATTTCCGAGCACCACTTTAGATTGATTTGGACATTTCAAATATAGGAGCGAAAGAACACGGAGCTAGGATTGTCATTGAAGGCCTCCCTGGAAATGTGGTATGGCCAAAGTCCTGAAGGAAATAAGATTCATCAATATAGATATTTAGAGAAATAATGTAGCAATTAGAGGAAATACCAACTGCAAAGGTCCAGATGCAGGAACTCAAAATTGAAAGTTTGACAGGAATAAAGAAGCTAGTCGGGCTGTAAGAAGGAACACCTGAGCACTGAGCACTGCTAACCAACGCAAGGACTTCCCAACCATTAGACAGACCCTCACTGTGAATCGCGCTTCACATCTCATTTGATGCACAGATCCCGTGGGGCCCTTGCCTCCCTATAGAATCAATCAACACATTGCTCTCTCTTAATTTCCTATAAATTAGTGGTTATTTTGAAAGTTTGCTTACATTCAGTTTAGATTTTGTTTTTTAAGAATAATACTGCGGCAAGAATTCTAATAGTGTTCTGTAAACTTGCATTGCACCAGGAAGCATATCCCCGATGGTCTCTTTCTTTCTTTAGATACTTTTATTGGTATATACTTAGCAAAATTTAATCATTCACTCATATTGAGATTCGTGCAATCATCGCCACTCGCTTTCAGAACATTGTCTTGTCGTCCTCGGTGTTTGATGTACTCACTTTTTGCTACGCTAAGGTGGATGGTCAGCCAAGTCAGTCATAATGCTCTGTATCAGCTTTGTAGCCTTTTACCTACTGGTTTTATGGGCACACGTGAGCTTTGGGTAGATTAATTACATCGATAGTATTAGAATCAGTTTTGGGTTTGTAATTTTTTTTAAAGACAGTATTGTCTATAGCTATTACATAGTAATTTTCAGTTAAAAATCACACAGGGACATCAGAATAAGTAAGTGCCCAGTTATTTGCCTCCCAAATAGTCTTCCGATGTGATAACTTTTTCTTAAACTTGTATCTTGTGATCTTTTGGCTTTTCCAACATGATTTCTGTTTCTGTACATTTCATTGTTTGTTTACATTTCAAGACACTTTCAAGCCCTGAGACCGTCTCATCTTTTGTAAGTAGAAGCCTTTTTATCCGCCTTCTGAGTGCCTTGTCAGCTCACAACTCTTTGTTTTTCTATTTTCCTGGTACAACATGTTTAGGATTCATGTTGCATATTTTCTATCCCATCTAAACCCAGTCAGTTCTCTAAGGAGATGTAAAAGGAGTGTGTATATGTGTGGGGTGGGGGGATCGGCAATATATTGATATTCCGATTAGGATTGTTGTTTTCTTCTTTTGTATTTGTGAGCCATGATTTGTTTTTCTTAAGCTGTCAGAAATGGCAATTCGTAGATTTATATATTTCAAAAAGGAATAAAAAGAAATACCGAAGAGGCAATACTGGAGAATTAGCATTTCATGTTTATAACCCCGTTTTACGAATAGTAATTGAATTTAGGTTTATTTATGGTTCATATATCTGACTATATTGCTTGTGAAGATAACCCACCAAATCACTGCCCTCTTATGTCATTTTTCAGTACCTTCCTTACAAAGAACAGGGGCTAGTTGTAATGGAAACCTTATTTAGATGTACTTCTTCAGCTCTTATGGTATAGCCCTTTTTTTTTCCTTTTAATAAAGTATTATTATTTTATCATGATTTACACTGTGTGACATCTCCCTTCACCCACTTTTCTGTTCCCCCTTTCCATCCCATCCTCCCAGGATTGCCACTCTCAGCACTGGTCCTGAAGGGATCATCTGTCCTGGATTCCCTGTATTTCCAGCTCCTATCTGTACCAGTGTAGATCCTCTGGTCTAGCCAGACTTGTAAGGTAGACTTGTGATTCAGGGGGAAGAGGAAGCATGTCCAGTAGCTTACTGATGGGCTTTGGTTTCCACTCCTCACTCCTCATTCATTCATAATGATATGATTTTTTTGGTCTTAGATGCCTGATACATGATCCTATCCTCACAGGCTGGTGTGCTTCTTCCATGTGGGCTTTGTTGCTTCTGAGCTAGGTGGCTATTGTTTATCTTCAAGCCTTTAAGACCCCAGACACTCTGCCTTTTGATAGCAGGTCACCATCAGCTTTCTTTACCACATTTGCTTATTCATCCACTTTGTCTTCAGTGATCGTGTTGGGAAGGTGAGCATCATGGAATTCCAGTTTAATAGAACAAAGTGTTCTTGCATTGAGGGGGAGTACTTGAGTGGAGACCCAATGTCCATCTGCTACCTCAATGCTAAACCTATAAATATATGCACATAGTTCTATTTCCCCATCTTCATATATAAATATATTTACATATGTACATGCCTGTGTTTAGACTTCTATAAATACCCTTTGCCTCCTGGTTCTTTCCTCTATTTCCTCTTACTTTCCTCTTGTCCCACTATCATGCTCAGCCTTCATTTGAGTTTCTGTAATTTCTCTCGGTTACATGGCCCTTGATCAAGCCCTACTAGGCCTCCTACTCCCTCCTCCCCATTGATTTTGCATCACTTGTTCCTTTGTCCCTGGGTTTGTTAACACCCACTTCCTCTCCTCCTCTCCCATGCCCCCCTCACCAACCGTAGATCCCATTGGTTGTTTTCTCCTCCAGATTGTTTATCCCTCTTAGTTTATATAGATATGCCTGCAGAGATAATAATATGCACAAAAAAACAAGACAGAGCAAAACAAAATCAAAAAAGAAAAATGTAACAACAATTTAAAAAACAAGGACTTAAAAAGAAAGGTCTGTAAATATTCCAAGGACTGTTGGCCTTTAAGAGTGTTTCCTGGTTGAGCCTGATTGGATGTCACACCCTGACCCCAAAGTCCATTTTTGGTATTCCCTGGGGACTTCCTTGCTCTGCTCCCCTTGCTGTTATGTTGCATTCCCTTAGTGTTTCACCTTGGTGGGTGGGGTCAGATCAGATGCAATTCCCACAATGTGTCTCCAGTGTTGTTCCCCCTAGGGCTATGGGTCAGTGAGGGATGTCGCGTTTCATAGTGGGGCCAGCCATATGGTCCTCTCTATGCATTGGCTGCTCTGAGCAAGGATATCTTCCCTTAAGGCTTGGTGGGCCAGGATGTGCTCTACTCTTTCTTCCTCCCCCTTTATTTGTTCCTGTGTCCTCTGATCAGACATGTCCCCTCACTGGTATAAACCTTTCTAATAGTCATATGCACAGTATTTGGTCCAGAATCTCTTGTCCTTTGCTGCTCCACCTAGCAGAAGAGTCACTACATTTTTATCCTCTGAGATTTTCCTTCTCATGATTTACTTTTATGGACACTTGACCACTATAGTAATTGATAGGTACACTAAATGCTTGGGTCTTTTATATCGTTTCTATTTACGAATAAGGTCGATTTTTCCTTGGATTGTATTATCTGAGGCAGGAATTGAAGATCTTTCTAATTAGATGCTAGTCAGATTATTTACTAAATTAAAATGCGGATGCTTTTTGTTGTTTTTGAACCTCAAAAAAAATCTTTCCATTTGATCCAACGTTTGTATAGATTTGTCAGAGCAAATTACTCACAATTGCCAATGTATAATAATCTATGTATAATGATCTATTTCTGTAGCTAAAAAGGAACACAACTTACTTGGTCTTTTCTGAAAGGTTCCAATCTATGGTTTTTAGTATTTGTTTCACAGCCAGTTAGGTTAGTTTTAATATTTTACTATTTTAATCAATGGACAATTTCATTGTGACACAATGAAATACATTCTTACTAAGAAGTTAGTGGCTTGAACCCACACCACAATTAATGAATACCCCACACACATTTTTTTGTGTGAGTGATTATTGGCTAAGGGAGGAAGTTTCAAAGATGAAATGTTGGGTCAAAAAGTATACCCAAAAAAACCCACTTTGATTTGAAAAATGAATGGAATAAAACTGGTCAATATTACTAACATGTTCTGTTACATTATCGTGGTCATTCTCCCTTTAGATATTCTCAGAAGCCAACTACTACCCAATCCTAGTGTGTGTTTTAGCTTCACCTTTGGTGTTCTTTTCTCTATTTAGGGTGTAAAACTGAGACCTTGCAACCTGAAATAAAAAGTGAAACTGAACCGCACTTTATCTTCAAAGGTTCAGACAACACTAAAACCTACTCAATGATCGCATCCATTCCTCGCTCAGCGAAAGAGGCCAACATGCCTCCAGGCTTCTCCTGGTCCCCCAAGGCTACTTCAACCACAGCAGCTCCTTGTCAGAATGATGCAGCAGTGTCCTCCAGGTTTCCAGAAAGCAGTAGCAACCCCTACTGCAAAATGCCTTCTCCCAGACTCAGTGGTGCTAATGTACCTGCTGAGGAAAACTTGGGAATTGCACCATCTGATGACTCAGTTCCTCTTACTCCCATTTCTACTCCCATGACAGATTCCCTGGTTTATTCTGAGTCTCCCAGTGGTCCAACTGAGCAGCTAACAACTAATTGGCAAAACCAGCAGCCCCCGCCTATCACCTCTCAAGAACTTGCTCCCACTGGGATGGAAGAAGACGATCCGCAGTCTGAAGCAGATGGTCCTTTGTCTGATGAGCCTCCTTCAAATGATCCCCTGCCAGATGCTGAGGACAAATTGCCCCACATCGATGAGTATTGGTCAGACAGTGAGCACATCTTCTCAGATGCCAATATTGGTGGGGTGGCAATCGCACCGTCGCACGGCTCTGTATTGATTGAATGTGCCCGGCGAGAGCTTCATGCCACGACTCCTCTCGAGCGTCCAAATCGGAGTCATCCTACCCGCCTCTCCCTTGTCTTCTACCAGCACAAAAACCTGAATCAGCCACAACACGGTTTTCAAGCAACCAAGATGAAGTTTGAGGCTAAGGAGGCTACGAATAAAAAAAGTGAGATTTCAGAGCAGAAAGACAAGGAATCTAATGAAGTAGTAGTGTTCCCTGAACTGGCCCCTGAACCCTTCCCTGCCCCTGTCCCAGAATCGTGCCCTGAAGGTAATGCATTGCACCAAATTCCTTATCATAAAGCAGTAACATCAACAAAAAACAAGTTTGTTACAGTGTCCTCTTATGCTTTCACACATGTTGCCGGGCCCTATAAAAAGTGGGCCTGAAAGCTTCTCTCCCCTTCTTAATGCCTTTGCTAGTGTAGTGTATTTTTTCAAGGTGCTGGTAAAAGAAAAATCATGTTGTCGTTTACTATATCTTCATCTCACCCATTTGAAGGCTGAGGTTAAAAAAAAAAAAAAACATAAACCGGGTGGGGGTTTCTTAACTCTGACTATTTTGACAATTAGTAGAAAGTGCACATTTTAAGCAAATATAAAAGTTTTATAGTTTTAAATACATAAAGAAATGTTTTGGTTAGGTTTAACCTTGATAGGATCACCCAGTTTGGTGCTTTAAATTAAGTCTGTTTATTATGAAACGAGTCATTTTTAGAGGATTTTAACAGGTTCATGTTCTATGATGTAAAATCAAGATACACAGTGTTAACTCTACACAGCTCCTGGTGCTTAACCACATTGACACAGTTAAAAAATAAGCTGACTTATTACTTCATGGTGCCATTGTTAAGACATCTTCCGATCATTGCTAGTAAATCGGCATATTCTTTTGAAGCAAACCAATGAAATGTTTTCTGCTGTACAAAATAGTTTGTGTTGTTAGTAATGGTTGGCGGCTGTTCAAAAATTGTAAATATATATTTTAAAAGCACTTTCTATTTTAAAAGTAACTTGAAATAGTATAAGAAGCCTATTGTCTATTGTTAGTGCATATTTGCATACAAGAGAAATCATTTATTCTTGCTGTGTAGAGTTTATCTTGTTAAATGCAATATGTGTTCTACTCATGTATATGGTTTTGTTTTTGTTTTTCAGTATATTCTTATTCTGTTATCTACTTATAGAAAGTAGAGACAATATAAAAATTGTTAAATGATCTCTAAAGTCAGAATTAGGCAACTTATTGATATTTTCTTTGGAACTAATTAAGAGTTGTCCCTTCTGATTGAGTGAGCAAGTGGCCTCATTTTATCTTTACTCTGACTATCCATGAGAGCGATTTCCAAATGGATACTGGATAGAATTGATTTTGAAGAGTCAAATGCTTCCAATGTTAAAATATGAAAATAAATTAACTAACTACCCCTAACTGCCTTATTTGTTCTGAAAGTTAATCAGGTATAAAATTAGAAAAAATTCTTGTTAAAAGTGTTAAGGACAAATTTCCTTGTCATTACACTGCCAGTGAAACTGAAGGATTGGTATTATAAGCATGGTTTTGTCCCTCCAGAATTATCCAAATAGTTGATCTCACCATTTTAGTTTTGCAGAAATTTTATTTTATCTTCTGTAATTGACTATACTGTGATAGGATGTCTAACCAACAGGAAAATTGGCATTCCACTTATTGTAGTTGTTTCACTATTTATTCCCATTCTTTATTGACTTATTTTCAAGCAAAACTAAAGAAACTAAAGAGATCGCCCAAGTAAAATGTTCAGAACAACAACAAAATACTTGATTCTGTTAAAATGCAGAGGTGCTATAACATTTAAAAGTGTCAGTTTCCTTGGGAGTATGGAAAACCTAATGGTGCTTCTCCCTTGGAAATGCCATACGAAGCCCACAACCACTAAAACTCATAATTTTGGTGCAAAAGTAAATAGTTTAAGCAAGCTCTCTAAAGAAAAACTTTGAACATATTAATATAATTTATGGTGCAAAGTATAAATGTCAAGCTTTTGACTTATCCAAGTAAAAGAACATGAAGGGGTTGCAAATAACAAAACTTCAGTTGAGAGAGCATCGTCCTGTACAACTAGATCTCTGCTTTTGAAACATGTACAATAGGGTAATTCATTGACTTGGTTTAGTATTTTGTGTGCCTTTGTTTTCCGTTTTAAAACATGTACATTTTTGTGAACCTAAGGTTTCCCATACACATATAAGTATATAAATAGTGATTGTTTATTGCTTCAGCTGCTCGAATAAGATATTTACTAGTACTAGACTATCAGGAATAAACCCTTGTGATTTTTAGGCTTTAGCTCCCACTCGAAATTATTTTCTCACTAGATTTAATGGATAAAGTTTTATAGCCTTTATCCATACATCCACCTTCCATTCTTTTGTTCTACGAGTAATTACTGTATGCTTCCAAATGTTAAATACGCCTTTGTTCTTTGAATCACTACATAAGACATAGTGAACTTAAAGAATTTAAATCCTAAAGATGTCCTGGCAAATATTAAATTTCCCTCAAAACAGTCATTATGTCTGCATTTATCTAACCTTTTAAAAATACTGAAGTTTAAACACCAGTGTTGATTTATGTGAATATTGGGATTTGTGGTTTACCAAAACAACTACATAAAAATATTCCGTGTTGACTAGCATTTTGCCACTCCATTGTAGTAATGAAGTTCTTTTGTAGACTGCCTCAACTGTCAACCTCACCATGGGAAACACAGGATTCTGACCCAAGTGTAACCATTTACTGTCTCATTCTCTGCCCTGGGATTATAAGACATTTTTTTTGTTTTAATCTTATTCAATGTTCTGCAGCATTGTGATTATATGCTAGATGCACTGTTTTTAGAATGCTCCTTATCAAGCAAACAAATAATTTACTTCTTTGAAGGCATTTTCATTCAGAAACTATACATCTAACATTTTTATTTTTCTGTTCTGATTTTCTGTAATGGTTCCCGTTTCATCCGTGTTAATTTGGGTTTTGAATCTTCTGCCTTCTTTCATGATCTGATAGTTGAATTCATTGACACATAACCATAAAACTGTTTAGCATCATGAGAATAAGTCCTGTGTTTTGTATATACAATCCTATTCCCTGCAGCCCATCAAAAACCACCTCTAATAAATTTTTCTTAGGCCATTGTTTGAGGTTTTTTCTTATACTTGTCAGCTTGTCCTACCTCTTGTTTTGAACTCTTCCATAAAGTACCAAATAAACCATATTAAAAACCTAATTATTATTCAAAAGTGTCAAAATATGAAAACCTGTAGCTATAGGGTGTTCTGTTTTATTTGTCCAACATGTTTTGCCTCTTAAATAACCTTCCAGTGTCTTCATTATGCAATCTGCATGGATGTGGGTTCTTCTCATTTATTAAATATAGAATTTCAACTAGATGCAATCCGTATCAATTTATTTAAGACATAGTCTAACACATACTTAATTAAATGCATACACTTGTGTAAATGAGCTACTGATTTAATTCACATTTACTGGTATTGTTAAACAATTGCTAACTGAAAATCGAGTGGAACAGAGCCATCAACCACTCCACCTGAGGAAGATGTGGCAGTCTGCCTCATGAAAGATTACAGCTTTGGAAGGCTATGGGGCAGTTCTAATCTGTCCTGTCGCACCTCTGGATTGCAGTCAATAAAAGGAAGTTGGTGTTCTTCCTCCTACTGTTCACTGTTTCACCATAGCATGTTTGAGGGTGACTCCAAAGGCAGTACATATACTTTTAAAACATAGATGTAGACATTTTTTTCTGAGGCGAAGTTGTGATATTACTGCATGACAACTTCCACCAATAGTGGCACAGCATTATCTTTTAATGTGCCAACAGAATCAGTAGCTGTATTCCACCTTTACTAAAAGATAACTGTCTTCTATTTCACAGTTTGTTAATGCATGGGGGATTTTTGTGGCGTCTTGTTTTTGTCTAGATTCAATAAAATTGTAAGTTCTGAATTTTTATAGAAATTTATGACAAGTGAATTGTGAAATAAGCTATATGGTTGTGGCCTCTCACAGCACTGGAAGTCACTTTCCAAGTCACATAGTTCAGTCACTTAAAAAGCAGAAGTTAAGATGGGTTTGTAATTAACTTTGTAAGGTCACGGCCATGTTTTGGGTAGTAGGGCTGTAGATAAACAAAATGTGCTCCCCCAGAGGATCGTGTTATTCATTGGTAAATAACCTTATGTTGGCACAAATCAAAAATGGCTCTGGGTTATTTCTGAGAGGTTTGGGGAGGGGGGCGGTGTTTAAATTGCAGAAAGACACCCCTACTTGCAGATTTAGTTGGCGGGGTGGCTTTTCAAATATCTAGCTGTCTTATCAAAGGAAATGGCCAAAAAATATCTGGCAATAGGAAAATTATTTTAGAGTGGCAATGCACCTATTAGCTTGGTGAGTAAATGCTTCTGTGACACAGGCTTTTATTTCCTCTGAAATTAGTGTTATGCATATTGTGAAGTGCTATACAGATTAGGTGATCGAAATACTGAAAGAAGCATATTTCCATTGTACATACTATCTACTCGTACTTTTTGTATATACTACGATTCACATCTATTGCCTATTTGGCCTAGCATTGCTTATTTTGGTATGCGTTGTCTTCATGTATTACAATTTTTAAAAAAATAGTGCACAGCTGCTAAACTTGCCCAGAAATGATTTGATCTGTAACTTCAGTGATCTGATCGTTGGCCAACCTGGGTGCTGAAAGATCCAAATCATGCTCCAAGTTTAGCTTTCTTCTAATAGTTGTTCAAAATTAAATTATCTTTGGCTCTAGAATGCAATTCAAAAGTGAGGATCCTTGGTACCTTTGGTTTTTCTTCTGTGTATAAAATAGAGGTTAGGTTCCTCCGTCTGAGAGGGTCCAATTAGCTCCCAGGCAGAACATCACTCTTTGTCCGTGTTGAATACGAGGTAGAGATGTTATTGTCAGGTGTTAACAGAGCTAGCTAGTGTAACCCTTTTCTGTCTGGGTGAAACTTTGTAAAGCTTTGGCTAGCAAGTGTAAACAATTTTCCCCAAAACAGCAATGTTGTCCCCCACAGCTCTTATGAAAGGTATTCTTGCTTTAGTCATGAACGAAAAACATCTGTCAGAAACATTTTATTTTGATAGAAATAATAGTGGAACATAATTTCATTTCTTTTGGCAAGGTTTGAACATTTATTCCTTGACCAGAAACATTGGTTTTCTTTTTTGTCATTTTCTGAGGCTGCAAAGTCACTATGTTTTCATCCTATGTTCTGTCCTTTGATTTTCTTTAAACATTTCTATTCCTCCTTCCGTTCAGTCCCTTCTCTATTTCCCCATTCACCCTCCACCCCACACACATAGACATGCACACATGCACCTGCAGATGGTTCGTTCTAAGAACAGCAGTGAGCACGGCCATGTCATCTTTCCTGTGTTTTAAAATGGGTTTGCATGTCCTTTTGGTACAATACCAAAAAGAACCAAGAAATTTTATTTAGCTTTTTTTGGGTTTGTAAGACAAGGGAGTAATCACTCCCTCATATGTTAACATTGAGGTTAATATCAATGTAACCTCAAAAAATTGATTACTCTTTGAAATTTGTACCAAGGATTATATGTGAAGTTGAATATTCTAGGACTGTTTCCATATGACGGCTATTTTTGTGCACTACATCTTAATTGGCTGACCAGTAACTGAATTAATGAAGTGTCTGAGCTCTAGAAGAAGTAATTTCTCAATGATTGTATTCTTGCTTACTTGTGGAAGGCATCTATCTACTTTTAATGCAAAAGTTCCCCGTGAGTTTTTGTCATTGTCAGTCAGTAGTAATCTGGAGGTGACTCAGAACTAGAAAATCTACGTAGTGGTGGCAAGAAAGTAAGTTCCTATCAGCAATCTGCGGATTTACTACTAGCTCAAAACTTAGAAAAATATTAACCCCTGCTATATGGCCTAGATTATCAAACTGGCTTCCTATATGTTCTTTTTGTCCCCACCTCGAGGGCTAAAGTGAACCTGCAGGTGACAAAGCTAGTGCAAGTGGCTTGCTCCACGTCACAAAGTGATCATTATGAGACTGACGCTTACCCTTCTTTAGCCTGCTTAATGCATTTCTGCACAATGACCTATGACTTAGGAGTTGGTACCAAGGTGAACTGAGATGGAATAAAACCTATTTATTGAATGTGAAACATGCTTATTAAAAGTGTCCCTATAAAAACAGGAGGGGGACAAACACCCAACATAATCTATAAAAAAGGACAGGAGACATTACCTGTGAAAAAACTTAAGGTTTGCATTTCAAGATCAAATGTAATGCATTTGATATATACAACTGCAGAGGTTTCTTGAATGAGTTTACTTGGTAAACTCTAAGAGATAATACTATCTCCCATTTAATTGAATGTGTTTAGCTTTGCTTTGTTTCCAGCCACATAAAATCAAAGTTTAAATTTACTGTTTGCTCAGTGATAAGAAAGTAAGGAGGCATACTTGTGAGGTTTTTAAGCTCTTTATAAACCAGTAAGCTGTTTTAAATAAATTTCACTTTTGGTGACTGTTCTGTAACTTCTAACTACCTACTCTTATAAATTCCTTTTTTGATATTATAAAATGGCTGATGTATTAGGACTTAACAGAAGCAGTTCTTTACAATTTTTCTTAAATATGTCTTCACAGTTTGTGGTGGTTTGTTTGTTTTACTTTTGTGATATATAGGTGCTGTAAGAGAAGCATTATTCCAGAAATGGTTTTGTAGAAACAGCAAAAGGCAGCTTTGGGTTACTGACAGGAGAGGAGTGTGGTCATCTATGGGCTACTGAGGAATACAAAATGTTCCCTAAGGAGGAATTTACAAACCTACTTGGCAAAAAGAAAAACATTCATTTCTAATTTGTTTTTTCTTTTTTTTTTTTTCTAATTTGTTTTCTTTTGTGATATCTGATGACCTTCCAAGTACAATCATATACTTTGGTTCAAAGCAGATGCCAGAGGAATTATCATTAGTGGGAATAAAATATTCATAAATATTTTACCATGGTGAAGTAGAATAAATCAGGATTCCCAATAAAATAATGACTTTCCCCCTCATCTCTGGGGTATATTTACTATTTATTACCTTTGGGTTTATATATTTTTAAAATTTTTTCCCCATTTCCGCCCCCCCTTGTCATCCTACTGATTAAATACTGTGTATAATAAAGTAAGTTAGTAGGGATTTTTTTTTTTAATCCACATATATCCGTTTTCAGTTCTTAGCATAAGGGGGGAAAGAGTTTAAAGAAGCACTTCACCATGTAGAAGGGAGGAAGTAATATTAACTGGTTATTTCTTTCATGATCAATATTTAGCCCTCTGCAGACAAGGGAACAATTCTAGCAGAACTTGAAAACTTGCAAGTTGGAAATGTATGTTACTTGAAAGATGTAATGAAGCTAAATTTTGGTGCACAGCAATTGTACATGATTTCATGTTTATGTAGCAAAATGCATTGAACTGTATTAGTATTGAAATATACATGTAAAGATAGCTCATGGAAATTGTCTATTATATTTTCTTGTGTGTCTTGTTTGTTTAGAGCTTAAATTTTCTTTTTTTTTAAATTGTTCTAATTAAATAGGACTAAATGAATACTGTAATTGAAAATATATTTTAAATCTTTGTCATGAGTTTTTAAAAGAAAAAAACTATTACAAATTGTATCATTCCTGCTTACACAGAACTTTGTGAGTGATTTTAAATAAATTTTATACTTCTATTTTGTACCTGATAGTCTAGTTTTCTTTCCTCTTCTAAATGATATTTTTAACATCCTGCAAAACTCACACATTTTAACTTCCAAGGAGTATAAGATTTCATTTGGGTGGAGTGACCTACTGTATGGACCTACATATTCAACACAAATCAAAATGATAATGGTTGAAAATTATGGAATCATGTGTCAGCAACTTAGCACTTCATGAATTTCCTTAATTAAGTAGTGACTCAACCCATTTTAGATATCAGCTCTGAAGCTTTGATGTTGTGGTTAAGTAAATTCACAACCCTAGAAATCGGTAGAGCTGTTACTCAACCAAATCTGATTGATGCATTCCCTGTCTTGGATTCATCAGTAATTCATTAATCTTAAATTAATCCTGAACACAGAATGTCAAGTATGTTCAAGTTGACATGCTAAGGAATTTTTTTTACTGTGATGTGAAACATTTCACTGACATATCCCTGTGCTACAGTAAGTACCACAGAATAATGCCTTGCTTTAAGTTTATCAAGTTAGAAACCACTGAAGCGCCAACCAAACCAAAGCCCACGCCAGCTAGTCTACTGCAGCAGTCTGGGTCCTCCCAGGCCGAGCGGGGCAGCTAGCAAATACAATTTCAGAGGGTTAAATTCTGGTTTGTAGCTTCAAAAGAAGGCACTTATCCCTTCCTTCCTTGTCTTCCCTCTTTGCTGACTGATTAGAAAGAAGATATGGTCTTATGAGGTAAACTGACCATCCAAGCAAGAATAACACCCCAGGGGTGGGTAGAGCAGCAAAGTAGAGGAAAAGAGGCAACCTGGGGCCTTGGATAAGTGGCTCCTCAGACCACCTATCTACTTGTCCTTTCATGTGAAAGAACTTGTTTTCTATTATTTTGTCCACTATTAAAAATAGCTTGACTGTAATTAAATATCACTCTACCAGACAAATACTAGGTTTTATTTTCTAAAATCACTAGGCCAAGCATCCAGTTCCTTCGGTGTTCCCTTAGTGAGATGGCTTCTAGGAGCACTGGTTCTGCACGGGCTGACTTACTCCATCACTCACACAGGGCAGTACTACCCTGCACTAAAGGGGCACTATGAGTTGGCATAGACTTGATGGTGGCGAGTTGAGTTCCTACCTGAAAATCAGAAGTGCTAACTCCTCGAATCTCAAAAAAACACGAGTCCATGTTTTCTAATGCGCAGAGCAGATGTTTCCACACTATTTTCCCAGGCTGCTCTCACTGAACTGTTTTATGCTCCATGTATCTGAGTAGGAAAAAAATCAAGAGTATAATGGCTTACTATATGCAAGGACCATCCTAAGTGATTGATATATATATAAATCATCTAACCCTTAGTCGGGGAGCAAGGTGCCCTGTTGTGCTGTCGGCTCAGCACTGAGCTGCTAACCAAAAGCTCAGCGTTGCAAACCGACCAGCCATTCCTCCAGAGCAAGGTGAGGCCTGCTGCCTGCTCCCAGGTCGTTTTGCAGCCTTGGAACCTTCTTCAGGTTCCTTGAGGATGAATTGACTCAGTGGCAGTGCCTTTTGGTGGGAACCTTCAATCTGAAAGTGAACACATGAATTCACTATCTTGCTCATTGTCCCACAGCTGATAAGATTAGAAGCTGTCTGGCTCTAGACTCTAGAGCAGTGGTTCTCAACCTTCCTAATACTGTGACCCTTAATACAGTTCCTCATGTGTGGTGACACCCCCCCTCAACCATAAATTTATTTTCGTTGCTACTTCATAACTGTCATTTTGCTACTGTTATGAATTGGGCAGCTACTGTGAAAGGGTCGTTTGACCCTCCCCAAGGGATCGCGACCCACAGGTTGAGAACTGCTGGTTTAGTCTGGGCTCCGAATTGCCTCCACCCACCCTGCCCCATCTCAGGCTTTGCAGAGCAAAGGAGGTGCTGCTCTCTCTTGTGCGTAGAATTGATAATGACACACAACTTTCCTTCCATCTTTGGAACAAGGAGTGGTGTGATCTCTTTAATCATGACATGTTATGCCCAATTTACATTAATTTGTTGTTCTCATTCCGTGATTGGTACATAGAAATTATTCCATGGGACTGCCACAGCTGTGCTCCATGCTCACCTAAAGACAGGCAGTCAGTTCCACGTGTGAAAGCAGTCACATGGCAAATGGCCAAGTAGGCTTTCTCTACCTACCAAGGCTAGATAGTCCCAAGGTCTCTGGCAAGAATCCCAACTTTAAAAAAAAAGGTGTTCCAACGTCAGAATGATCAGCCTCAGCTAACACTTGTTTCTCTAATCCAATGGTTCTCATCATTCCCAATGCTGTGATCCTTTCACACAGTTCCTCATGTTGTGGTGACCCCCAACCATAAAATTATTTTCGTTGCTTCTTCATAATTCGAATTTTGCTACTGCTATGAATTGGACAACCCCTGTGAAAGGGTCGTTGACCCCCCAAAGGGGTCACGACCCATGGGTTGAGAACCGCTGCACCCATTCCAGTCTGTTGATATCTTTGCATACAGCTCCAATGTTTACTCTATTTCCTCAAAGTAGTATTAACCACAGGCACAAATTCCTCTTGTCCTCTAAGATACTCTGGTGGTACTATAAGTGTTGGACTCCTAACCACACAGTGTTTCAAATCCACCAGCCACTCTTCAAGGGAAAGATGAGGTTATCTGCGTCCTTAAAAATTGTATTAGACCTTGAATTCTGAGCACCCAGTTTGCAGAAGGGTATAGATAACATTGATCCTAAAATCCATTTGCAGAGTCCCCAAATGGATAAAGCCTCCACTGAATTCCTTCTGACCTGGGACCTGAACAGCATTCCCCTTGGACCGACTGCAGTGGAAAGTGGATTATTACCAGCCAGTCCAGAAAAAGGCAGTCATCCTTAGAGGTTTGCCTGGGTGTGTTTTTGATGGAAACTGCCATACTGGGGGCATATAGCCATGAGTCATGCCCTCACTACCTAGGTCTGAAGGTCCTGTACCAACCAATCTTGTAAGCTCTTATTTCACGTAATGCACACGTCCCAATCAGTCTCATTCCCACTCCTATTATCCCATCTGTAAATGTGATGTATTGATCTGCCATCAAGCATGTTTTTTGTGACAGTTTCCTTTGCCCTCTCCAATGGGCTTTTTAAATCTCTGAATCTCAGCAAACCCTTGGATGCCATATGGCCGCTTCCTAGTGGTTTCCTTTGCCCTGATGATGTGTCTTTGTCTTGTTTAAGTCTTAATGAAATTTCTCCTTAAATTATATTTGAGGTTTTGGGTCTCTTGTACCCGCAAACAAAATTTAAAGTCTCAAAGACCCAAAGGGGTAGTTCCATTCTGTTTTAAAGGGTTGCTACAAACACTTGGTGTTGTGGATTACAACAAACCTCCTCTATCAATACCCATCTTATCTTGCTTCCCATTCCATTGAAGGAAGCTGCCTCCCTCCTACCAAAGGCTAATTCTTCCTTGTGTACTTGAGCTGTTATCTCCTCTGTCCTGTAACTTCGGTCTCTCCCTCAATATTGGACCCCTTGTCAGCATTAAACAGATGCTCATTTCTGGCATAGTAAAAGAAACAAAACAAACTAAAAACCTACCTTTGAATCCCATATTCCAATGTAGCATCACCAGTCTCTTCCAGTCACAAAATTATTTACATCCATTTTCTCCCCTGTGGAGCAATTCAGAACTTTCAAGCTTTCCAGGGGTGAGTGGAAAACATTTAAAAGCTTTTATTATATAAAAATTTGAATTTTTTTCTTGTTTACAGGCAAATAAAGAGTCTGCCATCTTTATTAATTTTTCAATTTATTATTTGTAAAAATTTCGTTACATTTTAAAAGAATAAGTTAGATTTTCTTCTTAAGAATTCTCAAAAACAACAACAAATTCCCTGTATGCATAGTTATTGAAGGGAAATTTAATTTAATTTATTTATTTTGCATTTTGCTTCACTTTAATAAAAATAAATAAATAAACACATGCCAGGAATTTCTTTTTTAATCAGAAAGAGGATTGAAAGATCAGAAGAAAACGTAAGTGGTTAGACTAGGGGCTCTATTGGTAGTCAGGAGGTAGGGTGGGGGTGAGGTTGTCGCCACACATCCCTGACCCTCAGGGGCCTTGCTCAGAGCTCAGGCAGTCCGAGGAGGCGAGGGTCAGTCTCTGCAGTGGTGCTAAATCTCAGCTGGGTGAAGGAAAATTTTAGTTGATTATAAAGTTACTTGTGACAAAATAACTTCTCAAGCAAAATGATCAAATCTTAAAAATGTACAAGTATCTGTGTAGATATTTGAGAGCAATTTTAAGTGTGTACATGATGTCAAGTAAGATTTCCAACTTAGCATCTGAATTTGCTTTTCTTTTTGGCCCGGTTTTCTGATTTTCAGGGTTTAGTTTAAGTTCCCTTACACCCAGGCCGATCAAGTTGTGGCCCTATAGGACAGGGTGGAACTGCCCCACAAGGTCTCCAAGCCTGTGATCTTAATGCAAGTCAACATCCTTGGAGAGGCTGGCACACGTAGCAATCTCGTGATGTGCATTCTGATTCAGCATGTCTGAGGTGGAAATGCAAATTTCCAGCAGTGAGGAGGAGTGGGAATGAACCAGCTGAAAGCCCTAGTTTGAACTGCTGGCATTTTGACTAGCAGTTGAGTGCTTTAACCTCTGTGCCACGCAACTCCTTGCCACTTTCTTGGGGTTACATGACCTGATAGTCTTAACTAAGCAGGATGTCCCCATTATTCGTACGACATCTATTTTCCTGTCATAGCCCATGACGCATCACAGTGGGACCAGTTTGAAGTAAAGGGAAATAATAGCATAGTATGGTTCATAGATGATAACAGTTCTCCAAGTTAATCTATATGCTTAGAGCAGACCCAAAAAACCAGTCAACTCCCAAGAGAACATTTTAGGGATGAAAAAAAAGTATATTTTAAAATTCATATGGCAAAAATAGGCACATGCCTTAAAAGCATAAAAAAACTCACGGACTAGAAAAAGGTCTTTAGCAAGGAAAC